AAACCCTAAAAACCCTCAACCTTAAGCCCAAAGCCCTAAGCTTCTGAGCCCAATTCGCAAATTCGCGAAGCTCGTCTCGAGCCTTCCGCTGGGGGCGCAGCTTCTCTCACGTCGCGCTTTACACTTTTTTTGGGGTTTAGGGTTTAGGGTTTAGGGTTTAGGGCGATTATAAACCCCATATAAACCCTATGTAAGCCCTATATAAACCCCTATATAAACCCCATATAAACCCTATATAAACCCAACGGTTAACATTTCGTGTTTGTGTAGAAGTTGTCTTCTGAGCCACCATTTTTGCACTTACCCCTCAGCCCATCAAGGAAGACACTGAAATTAGCAGCCCTCCACGGACAAAGCAGGAACACAAAGGACATCTAGGTGCTTGTACGGCTTTAAGGTGAAGCAACGTTACATAGAATAGTGCTGAGATTTGGGCTTTCGGGTTCTGTGGTTTCGGTTTAGGGTTTTAGGTTTCGAAGATCGGTTTAAGGTTTAGGCCTCAATTAGGGCGGCTTCTTTTCCAACCGGAGCATTTAGGTGGGTGCCGCCGCCGTCCGCCTGGCGGGAGATGGCATCAGCCAGAATGCATCCAGTCCTGTATTACAAAGGTCTTGATTACTTGTTTAGGCCTAAACCCTAAACCCTAAACTGTATGTCTGGTACGTTGAAAGAGGGTTCGGGGTCAGATCATGAGATTACCGCTCCCTTGGTTGAAAACCCTTGAATCCTTACATTTTAAACGCTAAAGCCCTTATAAACCCCTAAACCCTAAACCCTTCATCCTAGAGATTCGGTTCCCAGTTCTTGTGGCTAAATCGGCTTGGTGTGTTGTGCCTTCCCAAGCCCTCTCAACCTTCAATCTACTATAGGGGCCTTAATGATTACCTATACTGTTTTGGGGGATCCTTATTACCTTTTTATAATTATGGCATAATACACACCAAACCCATATTCTAGTTTTTTGTGTCCCTACATTTATGGACCGGTTCCGGGTTTACGGACTCAGTGACCGGGGCGGACAGGCTTTGCCATGAATCCCTGCCCGGGTGCGCAGTTGTACTTTCTGGTTGTTGGAGCCCTGACGTTCCTCATTACGCTTATACCAACACGGCCCCTGCCACTGTTGATGATATAAATCCTGCATTACCTTAATGGCCCTAAACTATATAGGAATTATGGTACATTCCTTATCATGGGTAATGCAGGATTCATACCATCAACCGTATGTCCTAAACCCTGAACCATCGATGATGGTGAGGAGCCTACTTGGATGGATGGTGTCCGATAGAACACACTTTGCATGCACACCGGAGATGCATGACTTGGTCGGAAGTTGGTTGTGGAATACTTGCTGTTTGCCGTGTATCGTGGTTCGATGTTGGTGTTCAGGGTTCGGCATGGCGTTCTGCATGCAGAGTTTCTTTTAGTCTCGCATCTCCACGCAGGAATACTACTGAACCGAAATGATTCTTAATACTATATACTGTACCCAAAAACTAGTGTAATTCATGAAGGCCCTTATATTGCAGAATAGTTAGAAGTCTTTGCGACGAGGTCGCCGTGGCGAGCTGCATCCCACGAGGGAAGTGGCGCGTGGCGCTGCATGGCTACAACTATATTGGCACCTTTCTTGTTGCGGTGTGTTGTTCGGAGGGGGGTGTATTATCGGCCTATCGTATAGGAGCCTGAATAATATAGGAGCTTTAATAATTGATTAGAAAAGGCTTTGGGGGTATATAATACTATATTCACAATAAGGAACCCCAAAGCCCTATTCTAATTATTTAGGCCCTTACATCAATTAGAACAGGGTTTCGGCGTTCATCATAGTGTGGAGGCCTTCATGATCAGAAGCTTGATGGATGGGTTTGGAGCTGTCAGAGATTGGGGGTATGGCTGTGGGGTATAGGGCTTCTAGGGTGTTTAGGTTTTGGATTCGGGCGAGCTCCGCGAAAAGCTTGAGTAGCTTTACTTTGGACCTCAGAAAGGGCACCGGCACGGGCATTTCACGGGGATGTCGCTAGCTTTTCGGGTGTCACTGTCAGGGGGGTTATGTTGCATTGGATGTCCCTATCCCATTGTTTGCTTATTTGCTTTGTGGGCCCTACTTCCACTGGGATGAATGCCTTGCATTGCCTTTCATGGACCCAAGAAGCCATTCAACACAAGTTGGTTCATTTGCTGGCATTTGGTGTCTCCACGGTGCAAAGCTAACACTTTGTGGCTTGTGGGCACATGTTTTTGTATGTTCCGGTTTTGGTCTAATGGCTTCTCTTCTAGGGATCTCCAACAAACCTTCGTGGTGCATACCTTCTGAGGGGGAGCAGAGATCAGAACCACAAGTCTTGCTCAGAAGGCACGAGGATAGGTCACTACCGCAGGACGGCAACCGAGAATCTCAGAACGCCCAAGTAATGTAGGGGGCTTTAAGAATTAGATTTGGGTCTATTATAGTTTAGTTGTACTAATGAGCCCTGAGGAACAATCTTGGCAATTACTACAAATAAATACTATCCTACAGGCACTATCCTCAGCGCAACTACCTAGTTACTCGGTCGCTGGGACCCTGCAAGCCTAAACCCTACAGACGCTTCGCCCTAAACCCTAATTAATCCCTAATCCCCAATTCCTAGACTCTAATCCCTAATCCCTAAACCCTAATCGGAACCCCGAAGCCCCATAAAACCCTAAACCCTCAAACCCCATAACCGCTAAGCTCTGAAACCCTGATCCGATAGATCCTACCTGTAGCCGAAAAGAGCTACTTTTATAGGGTTCCCTATTATGGTTTAAGGTTCAGGGTTTAGGGCCTACTTTTTCAGGGTTCCTCAATTTATGGTTTTCATATTGTAGCTCCTTAGCAAGGTAGATCTTTGGGGCTACAGGTAAACATACACACTAACCCTAAGGCACATGGAACTGATAATCCCTCAATCCCCTTAGACGCTGGAACGCTGGTATATGGACCCACTAAACCCTCAGCCCTCTTACGTCCTGGTGCAGGGACCCTAAACCCAAAGCCTCAACCCCTTTAGACGCTGGCACATGGACCCTAAACCCTCAACCTCTTAGGCCCTATAGGGCATACCCTCAAACCCTACACCCTAAGCCCTAAACCCTCAAACCCTCAAACCCTCAACCCCGAACCCTAAACCTAAACCCCAAACCCTCAAATTCTAAACCCTAAGCCCTCAACCCTCAAGCCCTATAGACCCTATAGGCCCGAAATTGTCAGCCGAAAGCGGAAGCTGAGGCTACGATTGCCCAGGCCAAGTGCCTTTGCGGAAAACTCCGTGCCTTGGTCTTCCATGGGTTTGGGGTTTAGGATTTAGGGTTTAGGGTTTAGGAAGTAGGGTTTCGGATTTAGGGTTTAGGATTTAGGGTTTAGGATTTGGGGTTTAGGATTTAGGGTTTAGGATTGTTGTTCAGGATTTAGGATTTAGGGTTTAGGATTTAGGATTTAGGATTTAAGGTTTAGGATTTAGGGTTTAGGATTTAGGGTTTAGGGTTTAGGATTTATGGTTGGGTTCTTCCATGACTGGGGTTGAGGATTTAATCTGAATCCCGAATCCCAGAAAGTTGGAACATGGGATTAGGAGGAATAGTGCTAGGATCCCTTGTACTTTAGCTTAAGGGCATGAGGACAGTCATGGTCCAACTTTCTGGCATCTGCCATAGGGATTAGGGATGTAGGTTGGATTGTTAGGCCCTAAACCCTAAACCCTACACCCTAAACCCATACACTCAACTACAAGGCCGTTAGAGATAGGAAAGAGGTGGTCCAGGAGGTTTGTTTGCTTTTTTCTCTTTCGTCTCTCGTAGGTTTAAGGCTGTAGGGTCAGGAGTTCAGGCTGCGTGGGGCTTGCATCTCTGAGTAAGAATATTCCCTGATATCTTAATTTAGTCTTCTTGGGCCTTCCGAGCCCTGAATAAGGCCATACAGCCTCTCTAAAACAACTCAAAACACCCGGTGTCACACCTGATGGTGTAGGGCGTTGTCGGACCTTCCGAAAAGAGAGGCGATTGCGGCCTGCGCAGAGGTGGAGGGGAGTGCTGCAAAAGGTGTAGAGTGTCATAAATCAAGGTTTAGTTATGTTAGGTGTTGGCTCTAGCAGGGCTTCAGAAGCCACGGCGTTTTATGGCTGATGCTTATTTACATTTGTTGCTTGTAACAGCAATGGTTTTCCGATGCTGTGGGGCTAAAGTAAAGCCGGACAGACCACTTTATACTACCGAAACCTCGTGAGCTAGTGGTTCTGTTCAGGAGTTGTGGAAGTACCTCCCGACGTTTTATGAACCCTACGATAAGGGTCCCAGGGACCCATTAACCAGGTACTGGTAGTAGTCGTGTAGGTTAATATTTGGAAGAGTGTATGATTATTCGTTACTTGGACCTTAGGGCTACATCCCAGATGCTTGTTGGTTTCAGTTTGCTCGGTCTTCAGCCTGCGGCAGGATTCAATTGGGATTTTCACGGCCATAAGCTTCCGTCAGTCGGGGCTTCGGGAGTTTAACAGGGATGCCAATCTCAAGCCTCCATTTGCAGTCTTCACACAGTGACTTTTCGCAGTGTATGACGAACAAAACTGTAAATAATGACTCATGACCATGAGCATCGTACACTGTGTGAGCTTTTCGGTGGCATTGGTCAATTTTCTGTGTATGCCTAGCATAGGGTTCTCTTTGTGAATACAGCCGCATATGTTGGTTCGAGCACATGAAGGGCCCCAATCTCGGCACCAAACTTTGGAGCACGGTGCTGTCTTGCCAGGCCGGGCGGTGGCACGAAGCGCTGATGCACCTGCCCCGGGTTTGGTGAGAATCGCTTCCTAGGGGTTTTGTAAGTTTAGGGCTATTCCAAAGCAGAAGCCTCACACAATGGGTATGGTCGGTTCCCTAACAGGGAAGTACCGGAGACTTTCTGATGCGAATTGGGATTGGGCACATACACTACAAAGTATGTCAAAGTATGTAGGATCAAAAGGGTGTAATAGTACTAATGGTTCAGGAAACCCCAAAACCCTATTCTACTTATTAAGGCCCGTACATTAGGGTTTAGGGAATTAGAATAGGGTTTTGAGTAAGGCAGGTTTTTGCTCAGGATTGGGCTGGGGCGAGGGCGCAAATAGGATTGATAGGTTCGCGCTTCGAGCCCTAAACCCGAAGCGGCTATAGACTTTTAAGGTCTCGGGTTTAAGGATTAGGGTTTAGGATTTAAGGTTTGGGGTTTAGGGTTCAGGGTTTAGGGTCTCGGGTTTTGGGTTTGTTGTGTAGACAGTTGAGGTTTCGGTTTTAGGGTTTAGGGTTTGTTGTGTTTCCCTTTCTGACATAGATAGCCAATGGGAGAACTTTAGGCTTTTGGGCTTTTGTATTCTGTCTATCCTAAACACTTTTGAACTTGTTCGGGGCCTGGTTGTTGAAGAAGAGAGACAATTAGAATAGGGCTTTGGGGTATCTTATACTATTATCATCATCAATCAGGAGCCCGCAACAGAGTATTCATAATTATGCAGGCCCCTATCCCTATATTACCCTTTTGCTATATACTTAGGCCTTAACGTACCTATATATATATATATAGCATAAGAAGACCGTTTTCCAAGGCCTAAGTCCTAAGTATATAAAATCATAAACCCTACACTTCAAACTCTAACCCCAAGCCTCTAAGCCCTAAGAAATAAGAGGTACATGGAGCCTTAGGGCCCAAGGCCGGAACGATGTGTCATCGAGATCTCCCACCAGTGGGCCCTTTTTCCGCGTTCTGTGGTCTTACCCTAAACCCTAAACCCTAAACCCGAAACCCTAAACCCTATAAAGCCTAAACCCTAAGCAGTCTGCCCAATATCAGATCGGGAGCCTTTTTTTATTCCTAGGCTACTGGAGATCCTAGGTAAGACTATCCGATCATTGTCCTTCTATAACTGCACTATAAGTTATTACACCGAAGCCGCCCTTCAAAAATTGAACTTGAGGTCCCTCACCCCTATGGGCTTAGGGTTAAGGGTTTCAGGGTTTAGGGGTTTAGGGTTTAGGGGTTTAGCTTTAGGGCTGTTAAGGTCTATACCTTTCTGCAGGGGTTCTGATCTGCCCTTCCGCAGGACCGGGCGGATAGATTGCCGCAATGTAGGAACCGGATTAAGAAACCCCGGCCCTATAACCCTCAAATATAAGTATTCATATAAGGAACCCTAATCAAGACCCAAGGTTTCTTAATCAGGTCCCCAAAGTATCAAGCGTGCTTGCGCTGAAACGCTCCTGCACCGCAAGATCCCTGCGCTTGACGACTGGTAGAACTGGCAGGCACCGGATCTGAGCACAAATGGCAGTGAGCCGTGCGGAAGCGCTGCCACAGTGGTGCTTGACGGTTCTAGCAACCATGCAGCTGTCAAGGCTGCAACCTCCACTAGGACGGATGCTAGCTCAAGTGAGCTTTAGGAGTTTGGTAGTCCGAGTAGCAGGCATGCGCAAGACGCTGGTCAGAGCACAGGCTCTCATTTTGGGATGTTTGCCTCGATTCTGCTGATCCAGTGATGGGCGGGTTTTACGAAGAGGGCCTGAACTGTCACTAGAGCTATCCAGAACCAATATAATATAAATATACACATGCGCAGTCTGTATTGCGGAGAGATTAGCAAGTTGGAAAACCTAAGTTTCATATGAGGGCACATACTCTTACTGGCACCCACACCTTGCAAAGACAAGTCTTTGATTCATGAACCCAAAGTCCCGTACTGGAAAAAACGAGCACATCAAAAGTATTCTGCAGGCTGTAGCGTGTTAAACATTAGCGGCTGGAGGGCTTGAACAAGTCAAGGTGTTGCGCGGTTCAGGTCTTTAGTTCAATGGTTTAGGGTTTAGAGTTTAAATTTGAGTGTTGACATTACAGTCTGTGCAAGCAGCGCAGACACACGATCCTTCTAAATGCGCAGCCTGAGTCCTAAACCTTCTAAGCCCCAAGCCCTTATAAACCTTAAGCCCCAAATCCTAAACCCTTCTGAGCCCTAAGCCCTAAACCTTAAACCCCAAATCCTAAACCCTAAACCCTAAACCCTAAACCCTAAACCCTAAACCCAGACCTCTTTATCAAACTCGACCCCAAATCCTAAACCCTTCGAAGCTTCAAGCCCCAACTTTAAACTATGGGCCTAAATAGTTACCACTACTGTTTTGGGGGCTCCTTATCATGCCCCAAAATCTGTTTATGGCCCTATCTTACCTATAGTCTCCATTGTAGTTCTTTTTTAGGGATACCTTATAAAATCTTTGATGTATAATTGGTTAAACCCCCAAAAAAGAACTACAATGGAGACTATTGGTACTAGTTGGGTACTCGGACCCTCCCTAAACCCTAAACCCTAAACCCTAAACCCTAAACCCTAAACCCTAAGCTGTAGAAAACTGTAGAAATCCGAGTCCCTAGGCTCCTGGCCGCCGGCCCTCCGAACATCGTCGCCTGCGCGGCGGCAGTCGCTGCATTGCATTAATATAGTCGTAGGGTTTAGGGTTTAGGATTTGGGGTTTACGGTTTAGGGTTTATGGTAGTCGTAGGGTTTAGGGTTTAGGGTTTAGGGTTTAGGGTTTGGGGTTTGGGGTTTGGGGTGGGTAGTATAGTAGGAAGACCGCTTAAAGGGAACCCTTATTCACCCTACTTATGACTCTCTGAAAAAGGACCGTGTTGAGAGTGTCTATGTCCCCAAGAGTCCCCCTAATCCTAACTCCTAAATACAAGCCTAAATAATTACCTGTTGCATCTTTTGGGGGGATACCGTACTTTAAGGCGCCCCGGCAAGGTCGAAAGCCACACAAAACTGCCAAAGTACCCGTGTTTGAAACCCAACCCGGGGTACCCTGAAGCCTTATCCCTGCATCCTAAACCCTAAACCCTAAATAGCCTTAAATCCGACAGCCCCAAACAATAGCTTGCAAGACAGGACTTTTGCTCAGCAGTCAAAGCTTACAGGGTTTAGGGCTCAAAGTTTTTGTCGTTTAGGATTCATGGTTTACAGTTTTTTGTAGTGTCTAGGAGTTTATGGTTGAGTCTGGCATAGGAGGAAACGATGTGCATAGCTGTACCTACGCAGGCCTCAAAGCAAAATAGCAAGATAAGAGACAAGGAACTGCACTCAGAGGGTGTAGGCACGGTTCGAAGCAAATTCTTCAAGTGCAGAGAAGTCTTCTGCACAATCTTAACTTCCTCGTGAGCATGGCCAACGAACAGTCCCAGGTGAACGCCTGCGGCCAAGGCTGGCTGACTGCACAAACTTTTGCTATCACTGTAGCAACAGCCACAAAGACTGTTTTGTAGACTGTCCCTAGCTGGCGAGCATACTCTGAGCACTCTTTAGGATCAGTTGACGCATGCGCCTCGGTGAACCGACGCTTTCCTCAGCCTTTTGGTGATTTTCGGTTTAGGGATTAGGGAGTAACGTTTTGTTTTTACGGCCCAGGATTTAGTTCAGGGTTTGGTGAAGTAGGGTCCTAAATTTTAGGGTTTCCCTAAACCCTAAACCGCTCCCGCCTCTCCGACAGGAGGCCAGTGGCTGTCCGCCATCGCCCTGTTGGTGAGGCTCGTCTATCGCAAGCCTTCCGAGAGCCAAGAGGCCTAGTCAGAAGTCATCAACACCCAGGTACCTCCCCATGTAAATAAAGACGTAGCTAAATAATATGACACAGATATAGATATATATATATATATATAGATATATAGATATAGATATAGATATAGATATAGATATAGATATAGATGTGGACTATTTCAGGATTTCAGGACTACGAGTTCAGCCACACGAAACCATCTCTACGACCTGGTAGGGGCCTACTTTCATGATGATCTCGTATAATTATATGGATCCCAGGACCTAGAAGCTACCTGCAAACGATTCTTAGTTGCTGCCCTCTGGACTTCTCAGCCTAAACCCTAAACCCTCTAACTTGTTTCCGAGGTTTTTTTTGTATGCATTCGGAGGATAGCAAACTCCCTGACCAAATGTAAGGCCCAGGGTCGTCCAAACAGCCAGTCTATTCGGGGTAAGATATAAGTTCATAATAACTTTAACGAGGGGTTCTACTATATGTATTTTCGGGACTGTTACCCTAAAACCTAAAGCCTAAACCCAAAGCCATGCGGGAAATATAGCTCTACCTATTCAGACTGTGAGCCGTCTACGTAACCTTTTCGTTTTCTACTTGTGCTCTCCAACCCAGTTCTTATAACATGGGTTTAGGGTTTAGGGTTTAGACTCTCTTTGGTGTCAATTCAAGTCTTTCCGGGGTTAGTGGTAGTCGTCATCCTGTGTTTCTGTAGCCTGGTAGTTGTCCCAAGCAGGAGTTTAAAGCACATTCCAGAAATGACTACATGGACCCATGGCGGGTTCCAAGTAAATCCGAACCGCCGGCAGGCATAACCACAACATTCTTGCGGTCAACGCGGCCATCAGCGCTTTGGCCCCGGCTTGGTTTCCGGGCGTCTGGTCGTAGGGCTTTTGGGTAGCTAGTTCTCTAAATTAGGGTCCCTTCTTCGGATCCTTTTTATAGCGGTGCCATACTTTATGTGGGACCGAAAAAGGAATTTCGAGAACTACCAACATAGTAATAATGGTGTGGGACAGATTTTTGCTCAGGGTTCGGCTGGGGCGAGGGGCGCAATAGGATTCATAGGTTCGGGCGTCGAGCCCTAAGCCCACAGCGGCTATAGACAGTTAAGGTTTAGGGTTTAAGGATTAGGGTTTAGGGTTTAAGGTTTGGGGTTTAGGGTTCAGGGTTTAGGGTTTCGGGTTTTGGGACGGTTTCAGGGTTC